GTCCCTGTCTGCCCAGGCAACTTGTGCACGGGTACCCGCTTGCCTGGCTGCCTCTGCCGGGGAGGGGGAATAGGCTTGATCTGTGGGTGAACAAAAGCAGATGAGGAATATATTGGTAGGAGGGTCATTTCGGAGACTCAGCTTGAGGAGTGAGGAGAGTGGGTTTTAATTTTTGGCATTGCCGAGCACACAGATTGCCACTCAGATGGTGCTTGTGCACCACTTACTGACACGAGGCTCCAGTTCAGCAGCTCCCAAAACAGAGGTCATTCCTGATTCCAGGTGAGGACTTGGCAATACCAAATAAATAGGCAACTCTGACCAAAGTGCGGTGCTAAACTCTGGGATTTGGAGTCACAGTCCACAAAAGTGCTTGGGAGCAGCTGCCTTCAATGGGACACCCCAAAGCTGGAGGCTTCTACAGGCAGGAGTTTACAAAGCTGCTAGGGATAAAACCGATTTAAAGTGACATCAAAATCTAACATGCAAAACCTAAGTTACTGCATTGCTAAAGCACGTAAATCAGTCTCCGTGCTCGCTGGTACAGACCAATAATCCACCTACAGAAAAGGCGAGGTGCTGCACAAGAGCCACCTTCCCACCAGGAGCAGTATGGGACACAAAACGAATGTAAGGAAAGGTGCTGGCATAACCCTAGGACCATCCTGTACCTAAATAAAACCAGACCCTCTACCAGGACTCACACCACCAGCTGGAATGAGAATGCAGAATTGCCATTGAACTTCATTTTACTGCACTAACAGCTATTTTATGTGTTTGCTTATCCTGTTTTCCCAGTGCCACAGCCCAGTTCCGGCATCGGAATGAGTGACCACATGCCAAAGGGTGCAAACAGAGAACAGAAGGTTTGTCAGCCTTAGTCTTGGTTTTAACCTGGAGAAAACTGCTTAATACATTTGACTAGCATGGCTGTTCCCCAGCCCTTTGCCCCTGGATGCAAAGGTCTGCTCTGTATCCCACCATAAGCTCCTTTTGGGGTTGACTCAGAGGAGATTGCTGTTACAGGATGAGCAGTATTGTAGGGCTCCAGTGATACACTGCAGTCCCACTTTGCACACACAAAATGACCCAAAGCTTCAGCCAAAGAGGAGAAAGACATGGGTACTCACTCTCTCCCCAGGGTCACCCATTAAGCCCACAGGTCCAGTTGGTCCTGGAGGTCCTGGAAGACCCTAGCATAGAAGAGAGAGAGAAAAAAAAAAATAAGCCACTAAGAAATGTGTTATTATTTGTAACATATTTGTACAGAAAGCAGGAAAAGAATTAGAGCTTTCTGTTTATTTTTGCACCAGAAAATCAGCCCCGAAGCACTCTGTACACATGCATGGCATATGGAAGCAATAGAGCCCGGGAACAGCTGTGTGCTGAGCCCTTCCCGTGCATCCCGAACCCCGGAGCCACGCGCATCCTTCGCTGCAAGGTGTAGACAAAGTGCCACTTACTGCTGGGCCTTCGGGACCAGGTGGGCCTTCCACCAGCATACCCTAAGCAAGAAAAAGGAAAAAAAAAAGTGATTAGCAAGGCACATCCTCAGAGTCACTTTGACTACAGGGCTGGAAAGCCCAATGCTTTATCTGTTCTTAAACATTTCAGGTCTTGCTGCTAGGTCTAGGCATCCCAGAGCTGAAGATTCCACTCTCTCTGGATGACACCTCCCGTGTCCCCATTGCCAGAGGCACAAAAGGCACTGCCCATTGCAAAGCCAAATACCAACTATTTGAACCACGCAGGGCCTGGCAAAACAGCATTTTCCCCCAGCACCAAGCCCACCCTCGCCCCAGCACAGGGTCACCTTCCTAACCGCAACCCTTCTCCCGTAGCTCATGGCCAGGCAAAGGGCAAACCCTGGGGCACATCCAGCCTTGATGGTGCTGGAGCGGGAGAAGAGCTTCTCTTCAGGAAGCAGCTGTTTCCAGACTCAAGCAGCTTAAAAAAAAAAAGTTAATAATCAAATCACAAGTTTGTTTGGTTTTTTTTTTTTTTTAAATGACTCTCTCAGCAGACTGCATGCTGTGATTTACTCTGTGTACCTAGGAAATCACTGTGTGGGCAAAATGGTAGAATAATGTTATTCCATTCCTTTTAATCTAAATATTTTGTCATAACTTTAAATCAGGTCTATCATGTACTCAGTAGAACTGAGCTTCCCCCCCGCCAAAAAAAAGGTGATGTAAGAGGCAGGGAAAAACCCTCCCAATAAACCTGGCAAATGCTTTCTAGAAGCATCATCAGAATGATCTGTCGGGAAGAGCCCCACAGCGAGCGCTGCCTTTTTATTTCTGGGCCAGTGACCGTGCCCCCAGCAGCACCCAGGTCAAGCCAAAGCAGTGCCAGCACTTGCCAGCTCATCTGTAGCAGAGACATTTCTCCTATGGGATGAAATCAGCCTGTAAAAATCGGTAGATAAAAAGTCATCTCATATGGAAGAAACGTGGAGGAAGCAAGTGCAGGGACTGGTCTTGGGCCACCCTTGGCTGGTCTTCTGGGCTCAGGCTCCAGTGCTAAAAAGCCTTGGCTGACCCCATGGCAGCCACTACAGCAGACAGGGCTGAGCTGAATGAATCTGAAATGTCTAGGGGAAAATCCAGG